CAGTTTGAAAGAGTGGGCCAGATCTTACAACCCAGAGGCTGACAAAAGTCTTCCGGTTAAGGTTGTTCATGACCAAAGAAAAACAATGTCGCTTCCTACGAGATTTGTTCCAGCCGACGAAATGGAGGACAGATATCTTCCCACCTTGACAAGCCACCACTCTCATGACTTCACTCACAATACAAGTCTGGGGTATCGGGAAGAATCTCACAAAGGTAACTCGCATTCCAAAGAAAACAACGTTTTTTATTTACGAATTCCAAAGACGCTTATTGCTTTGTACGCGGAGAGTTTTACCCATGCCTCTTCAACTGCTGCTAAAGAAATACATTTTGTTGGAGGAGAAAATCTACGAGAGATGTACCTATCAGACAACAACATTGTGGACTTTTCTGGGTTCATAAAGGGCCTGAGAAATCTACAGGTTTTTGACATTTCAAAAAACGATTGTTCCGCAATGTCTGCAACATTTTTTCAGTTTCTTGTGGGAATTAAAACCCTGAAAATGAAAGGAAATAAGTTAGACAGCATGTTTATGTCCAGACACAGCGAACAGTTGTTCCGGTCTCTGACCTTTCTAAAGTCTCTGGACTTGTCAGACAACCAGCTCAATCATCTAGCCGGAGAAACTTTCCGGGATAACTCGCAGCTCCAAACCCTGAACTTGGCCAACAATCGGTTCACAGACATTCCGCTGGACTTGACTCTTCTGCCCAATCTCACTGACTTAGACCTCAGCGGGAACTCCATTTCCCAACTGAGCAAGAAGGGCATTGCGTTTGTGGAACAGCACGCTCGCACCGTCAGCGAGTTCTCCCTCCAGCTGTCGGGAAATATCGTGGTGTGTACCTGCTCCAGTATCCCGTTCCTCGCCTGGCTCCAGAACACAAAGGTCACCCTGGACAGACCCATGAGCTACAGCTGTGTCACAGAGGATGGGAGGCTGACCACCACTGCTGAGTTTGCTGACGTCAGAGCTCTGTGGCGGAAGTGCCACGGGGGATCCGCCCTCCTGTTCTCCATTATTCTTCTGTGTCTCATGTCCCTTGGATTCCTGGTGACCGTTTTGTGTTGGACATTGAAAACACGGCTCAAGTCGTTGGTCTACAGAGTGTTCATCCAAGGTTTCAACCTGCACGGCCCGGCCGACTACCGACACGGTGTTTTCATCGGCTACGCTGACGCCGACACCAGGCTGGCCTGCTTCACTCTCAGAGATTTCATCCACTCTCGACTTGCGCTGTCTACCTATGTCAGGGACATTAACCAACTTCCGGCCTCCAACATGGCTGAGTCGATTGTGAACGCGGTGAATTCCAGTTGGAGAATTGTCCTAATCGTGACGTCCGATTTCCTGGACAGAGAGTTGTGGTCGTATTTCACCATGACAACAGCTGCCTACATGGTCAGTCCGGCCAACCCAGGTCTGATCGTTGTTCTGCTGGAGGAAACCGTTCGCCACCGACTTCCAGCCTCTCTTCTGCGTTCACTTGAGGAAGACAGCATTCTGTCTATCCCTCCATCCCGACATTTGTCACAAGACAACATGCGTAGACTTCGGGACTTACTTCAGCCTGCAAAACCGTAATAATTCTCTCCTGAAAATGGGAACATCATCAACATACCCATAATTATTATGTACAAAATCAACATAACCATAATTATATCCTGAAAATGGGAACATAATCAACATAACCATAATCATGTCCTGAAAATGGGAACATAATCAACATAACCATAAGTATGTCCTGAAAATGGGAACATAATCAACATAACCATAATTCTCTCCTGAAAATGGGAACATCATTACCATAACCATAATTCTGTCCTGAAAATGGGAACATCATTACCATAACCATAATTCTGTCCTGAAAATGGGATCGTATTAATCGAAAGCACAATACTTGTGTCCTGAAAATAAGAACACATTCAACATAACTATAACCATAATACTTCTTTCCTAAAAACGAGAACATAATCAACATAACCATTATTATGTCCTGAAAATAGGAACGTATTCAACATAACCATAACATTTTTTTCCTAAAAAAGGGAACATAGTAACCAAAAGCATAATAATTATATCCGGAAAATGGGAACATACTCAACACAATATTCATAATAATTATGTCCTGAACATGGGAATTCATGTATATTCAAAATGATCACTGTCGAAGCTTGAAGTAAATTGATTGTTCAAACACTGTAGTATTTGGCTGATGTCTCTGAGAGTTTTCACACTGCCACAGTTTGTGTAAGTGACGGTACCTTACAGTCTTAGAACATGACTGTCAGGTACACTTGACATTGTCCAAAGGGTGTTTGCCTATTTCAAGTAACAGTTGGGGAAGAAACTTTTTATCAACATCCCTTTGTAACACACGCAATCACATACACAGACAAACTCAAGCAAGCACACACACACACATACACACACACATACACACACACATACACACACACATACACACACATACACACACACATACACACACACATA